CGGCCCCGCCTCCCGGCCGCGCGCTGCCGGCGCGCGGGGGGCAGAGGGCAGGGGTGAGGGGGGAGTTCCTGCCCGCCGGCAGCGGCATGGCGGGGGATGGCAGCGACACGGCGGGCCCGGCGGCGGAGGATGGGGGGTCCCCGGCCCCGGAGCGGGTTCTCTTCCCGCCCACCTTCAGCGTGTCCGAGATCAAGAACAAGCAGCGGCGGCACTTCATGTTCCTTCGCTGGAAGCAGCAGCAGAGGAAGGTGGGGAAGGGCCCGGCGCGGCGGCCGTTACCGGAGGGGGAAGGGGAGGGGGAGGGCCCGGCCGGACGGCGAATGTGGCTAACGGATCCCTCTCCTTCTCCCGCTAGGAGAAGCTAGCCGCCAAGAAGAAGAGAAGAAAGGAGCGAGAAGCCCTGGGAGACAAAGTAAGGGCTGCGGCCGCAGCGTGCCGCCGCCCCGTGTGGCGGCGAGGCCGCCGGTGCTCCGCCGCCAAGGGGGGCAGAGCTCGCCTTGGTGTGACAGCTCTCCGGCTCGGCCTTGTGCTGGGGCTGCTTCGGCTTCCTGAGGGAAACCAGGCTTGGGTGGAGCGCCGGTGTGGGTGCTCGGTGGCCGTGGCTGCCCTCAGAGGGGCTGGCTGTGTGGGGCAGCGCAGGCGTCAGGCAGCAGAGTGTAGAAGCACTGTTGGTGCTGCGGTAAATGGTGCTGTAGTCGGGCAGGGTGAGTTTGAGGCTGTTAATGGCATAAAAGCAGGCCCTTCCTGAAAAAGGTTTCCTGCCTGATGCAATTGCTATGGCGTTATCTTGATGTTATTAGGAACTACGCTCTAATAAGTAATTCCTATATAAATTAAAACAATCACATCTGACCAAAACCTTCCCAGACCAGTTTTCGGCTTTTTTTCCATCCTAGCCACAAGCAGGGGGTTTTGCTTCTTTTCCTGAGCGACTTCAAAAACATATTGACAATTGGAGACAGTCAGTTGTGAATTCCTGTATTACAATCTTACAGGAGTGGTCTAAGTAAGAAGGGTAAACATTATGTGCTATTAGTCATTAAATTGTAGTTGTCAAGGCTAAAATGTGTTGAAAATAGAGCTTTTCTCTTCCATGGAAGAGAAGAGACATGGATAGAATGTTTCCCTCATCTTTTTTGTTGTTTTATAGCCTGATTTCTTAATTGGACTGCAGTTAAGGGGTGTCACTGCTCCCTGGTGTCCCAATAGCCATGCATGTTTTTAATCAGAGCTATGTTGTTACTTCTTTCTTAAAAGCTGACATAAAAGAAATAGTACTTCTCATTATGTGTAGAAATAGACACAATATCGTGGTAGTATGAATTTAGGTTTTTTGCAATGCACTTTAAAATTGCATTAATGTGTTGTTGATAAGCTTATTTATTTTAGGCACCTCCAAAAGCCGTACCAAAGACTATTGAAAATCAGAGAGTGTATGATGAAACAACTGTAGATCCCAATGATGAAGAGGTAACTGCTTAATTTATGCATATGCTATTAAGTTAAACATTTCTTTCCAGGAAGGCACATAAAGTGGATTGATGAAACTTAACATTCAGTACTCTGCTATTAAGGTGTTGATGAATTACTTTTTACATGTGATGGGCTCACAAAGAGGTGATGTTATTCTTTCATTATCTACATTAGATAATTGCTTTTTGCATTACTGCTATTGATAGCAAAACCTGTCAGTCAGTGTTCACTAGATTCTTAGAATGTAAAAAACACAGGCCTTGTGATGATTGATTACAGGATAGATCTTTTGAATTGATATTTTTCCTGCAAATTCAGTTTCATCAGAATTTAGATCAGATTGAACAATTGTTCATCAATTATTTCATATGTGGTGGATTAACAAGACTCCTCTCTTCTTCCAGGTTGCTTTTGATGAAGCAACTGATGAATTTGCACCATACTTCAACAGACAGACAGTTCCTAAGATTCTTATTACAACATCAGACAGACCTCGTGGGGTGCGTATGCTTTACTTGGAGAGTTCTGAGCAATCAACTGGTTATAAGACAGCAAGGTTTTCATACCATCATTGGTAAATTGAAGATGAAAACAATAGCTTTCACATTTTGCATGGATTTTTTTCTGCTGTTTTATTTACTGACTATCAATAACCTTGTATGTGTATGTAATCTATTAGTTTCTCTAGCACTATTTGTTTCCTTCATAAAAAAAAAAAAAGAGCAACCTCATGCATGTGTTCTTGTATGCAAATGATCTGTATTACCTAACTGGGGAGATTACTGGCATTTGTGAAAACCATAAAAGAAGGGGTTTTAAAAATAGGAAAAAGTACACCTCACAGTTTACTGGAAACTTGGACATTAGTACCTGAAGTAATAGTTGTATTTTGAAATGTTATGAACTTTCTGTGAACCAATGTCCTTAAACAATGAGTTTAATAGTTTATCTTCAAATCTATATAATACTGGAAGTAATACAGTAATAGGATGAGGGGTAATGGCTTCAAAGTGGAGGAGAGGTCTAGATTAGATATCAGGAAGAAATTCTTTACCGTGAGGGTGGTGAGACACTGGAACAGGTTGCCCAGGGAAGTTGTGGATGCCCCATCCCTGGAGGTGTTCAAGGCCAGGCTGGATGGGGCTTTGAGCAACCTGCTCTAGTGGGAGGTGTCCCTGCCCATGGCAGGGGGTTTGGAACTGGATGATCTTTAAGATCCCTTCCAGCCCAAACCATCCTATGATCGGGGGGGGCAGTTGGAAGGAGGAACCGTCCATTCCCCTAATACTTGAATTTGGCACTGTAGTTACTACATTGCAATTTAACTCACCTGTTTTGCAGAGAACAGTGAGATTCTGTGAACAGCTGTCTACTGTTATACCTAACTCGCATGTCTACTATCGAAGAGGACTGGCTTTGAAAAGAATTATTCCACAGTGTATTGCAAGGGACTTCACTGATTTAATCGTCATTAATGAAGATCGCAAAGTACCAAGTATCCTTTGGTGTATTTATTAAAATAGATATACCAGCCCTGGACCTATTACGGAAAGAAAATAATTGTCTAGTGTGCATCAAAGATCTACTATTTTGAATTTTTTCTCTTCACTGTGCAGCTTACATTGTAACTACATAGTTAAAAATCACTGTGCCAGCTTGAATAACTGACAGCTAATGGAACTTGGAATTATTAAAGAAAGTTTGTTGGCTTTTTTTTTAAGTTTGTAATACATGAATAAGCATCATTATTATTTCAGTGAATTTAACAGTTTGATTAATTAATAAGCTTTTCTGACTAGGAAGTTTCATTTACTTTTGCTGACTAGATAAAACATTACTAATTAGTAAGTGAGAAAGCAATAGAAGAATAGCTCTGGTTAGCTATTGAAACAAAATTTAATGGACGTACTTCAGAACAGTAACTCATTTATGAATGCATGTTCAAAAATATAATGAAGCCTTGTAAATCAGGGATAGATTATGGATATATGATACTGTATTTCACAGAAAATGTTCCTCTGTAAATCACGTTTGAATTTTACCAGCCTTTTCTTTTTAACTCTATGAACAGATGGTCTTGTTTTAAGTCATCTGCCTGATGGTCCAACTGCTCATTTTAGAATGAGTAGTGTCCGTTTGCGCAAAGAAATAAAGGTAAGGCTCCAACAAAATTTAAAAAAACAAACAAACCAAAAAGTGTAGTCTGTTAAATGATAAATACGTTTGGTCTACTTGAATTGTCAAAACTGATTGCCCTTCTGTATGATTCAGCTGATCTTGTAAAGGTGTTTTTTTCATAAGCTAACATAAGCCAAGGACTAGTATATTCTACTTCCATAAGCAGCGTATTTCTATTTTCATAGTTACTTGGCAAATTCCTTTAATTGTCTGCCAAGTATTTTTATAGTTGTGCCAATAAATAGCAGCTGATAACTTACGTCAATAGGGAATACCCAATGTATAATATACACACAACAGGGTATATAAAATCGGCAGTATAATAGATTTCAACAGATGTGTATATGTTCAATATGTCAGTATATAACCTAGTATATATGTCAGAATAAAACCTAGTTTTTCTTATTCTTACAGCCCTGTCACTTCTGTAGCAAGTATTGCTTACTGAGCCCTAATTAATTTGTAGTAAAATGTATTTTGTTTCTTCTTTTGAAATGAGTAACTTTTAAACCTTATCTGTTCTTAATAATCTCATATACTCAGTCCCATATGCACTTAGTGTTAGTATAGAGAGGGCTCCTGTGATGGGTAGACTGTATTATTTGCTATAAGGGGTGCTGTCAGGAGTGGAAATTGGTGCAGGAGAGGGGAAATGTGAAATTAGTTATTTCTGCTTTTTCGTTCAATTTATATTGTTGAACCAAAGAGCGTTGTAATAGCAGCTGCTCCTTTACTTGTTACCAGCCCTGTTAAAAGAAGTTGCCCGTGGTTGTCTTCCCCCCATTTTATTTCAAACTCTTCTTTGATAATACATTAAAATCATTTTGCACTCAGTCTGTTCTTCACATTCTTATCTATTACTTTCATTTCAGCGAAAAGGGAAAGAGCCCACAGAACACGTACCTGAAGTAATTCTGAATAATTTTACGACACGACTGGGACACTCTGTTGGTCGCATGTTCGCTTCTCTCTTCCCACATGATCCTCAGTTCATTGGGAGACAAGTAGCCACGTTTCACAACCAGCGAGACTACATCTTTTTCAGATTCCACAGGTGACGTTTTCCACAAAACTCACAAATGAGAGATAATGTTCTTGTAACTTGCTTCCTAATTTTTATTTTTATTTCTTCCCCCAGATACATCTTCAAGAGTGAAAAGAAAGTGGGAATACAAGAACTTGGGCCACGTTTTACATTAAAGCTGAGGTCTCTTCAAAAAGGAACCTTTGATTCCAAATTTGGAGAATATGAATGGATTCATAAGGTACGTCTAAGTCATAATAATAGTCCTGCTTGGGAAGGGAGACTAAATCTGACGTGAAATGTAACCACGAATCTTAGCCTAAAAAAGCAGTATAAATGCAGTTCTCGATACGGAAGTGTTTAACTGTAACATTTAGAGGTGTATTTTGAGAAATATGCAAAGTAGAAGCATTCTGCTATATTGCAAGTCAAAAATAAAAATAGCAAGTATGATGAATTGCAATATAACTGCAACTACACATTTGCAGAATGTAATTATTTTACCATACACAGATACAAGCAAATGTGAAAAATGGTTCCCTGGTGTAAGCCATTATTGGAAGCCTAGTAAACGACTAGAGCTATTTTTGTGCAAGGATCATAACGTAAAAATTATTAAGGTATTCACATAGATGTCACTCCTTAATAGTGAATGGAAAGTGTCACTGACCTCTGCATGTCTTCAAGTGAAATAGAAATATTACTCTAGACGAGGCTAAGTTACTTTTCCAGTCATTTTTACCTTGGAACTGCAGTTGATTGGCAAAACTTAGAAGTGAGTATCCAAGCTATACTAGAAGGAAAATTCTAATACTCCTAATGTAGCCCATAACATGGATAATCCTGTTTTGAAGACACTTTGCCTACTGTCAGTAGACAGAACTGCTACATGTTCTTTAGTTCTAAATCACTGATACCTAATTCTTCTCTGTTGTCTTGAAAGACTCAAGTACACTATAACTGCGACACATTTCACTATTCACATTTCATGCCTACCATACTATAAATTGAGTGGTTGCATAAATTTGCTGGTTAAAAACTTTTCTTTTAAATTTCAGCGCCGAGAAATGGACACAAGTAGAAGAAAATTTCACTTATAAGGGACAGCTCTCTGCCAGTTGCTGGTGACAAGAAATACAGAAACTGCTTGGAACTATGGATTATCTCAGACTCCTAACTAACGATAATGAACAGTATCTGCCTGCATAAAGACAACCTGCAAACATTAAAACTTTCTACAGGAACAGATCAAGTAGGACACATCTTTCTTCTCATGTTTGTAGCTAAATCCAACATGATGAGGACAGTGACTCTTTTTCCAGTTTAGCAGGAAAAACTATGGCAGTCTCAGAGCAGCCTGTAATTTAGCTGTCACTGAAGATTTGCCATGACTGCTGTTGTGCTATAGAGACAATTTCCACTTTGCAGCATCAAAGACAGTAAACATTTTGGTTAAAGATATTTTCAAAATAAAGTATTTTTACTTATACAACTTTTTTCTTTTTTTCTGTTAAGCAGCTAAACCCAGACATCTTCCGTTAATCAGGTAGGAGATAAATATGTTAAACATGTTTCTAACTTATAGTATGCTGTTCCCTGACAGTATGGTGATAGTTTTCCAGAAATGGTCTCTTATCTGGAGAATACTGAGAAGGCTGTAAGCAATCCAGGAAACCTGTGGTATTTTCTTTCATTAATACTTTGCATAAAATAGCTACGATGAAGTTGCCTGTAGGAGTCAAGCATATTATTCCTGTATCTCTTCTGTGAATTTCACATTTAGGAGAGGTGTATACTCTAAGCAGTTTATATTTTTTTTTATAAGAAGAAATAAACACCGATGGGAAAGAATTCGTAAGGCCAGCTTACAGGAAGCACATAGAGCTAACTTGTCTAAGTACGTTGCTCAGTGTGAGGTCTCAGAGCAGGGTTTTTCCTATGAAAATCTTAAAAATGTTTCTTCATCCTCATAGCTAGTCTCAAATTGGTGAATAAACTACTGTTCTGCCTTAAGTCTGCACATTCACTGGCAGCTAAAAATCTAAGTTTTCTTTGTACTTTCTTTTCATATGCAGCTGTGCTTTTTCGTATTTATCTAAAGAGTAAGATGGTTCACAGAGTAAGTCATCTACTAGGGCAGAATTACTCTTTTAAGATAAAAAATAATTAAGTTACTTTTTGTCTTTATTTAATGTCTCTGATACGGGACAGCTGTATAGTTGAACTATAAACTAACATTATAACTAGCTAAAAATTTTTTTTGCTGTTCTATTTCTATTATGCTTCTAAGTTTAGTACTGATGAAGCTGTGTTCTTCTGTCAGACTGTCAACCCCACGAAAACTTGAAGCAGGCTCCAGTAACTGGTGAGGTGTCGAGATACCCAGAAGTTAATCAACATGTTACAGTAATTCCGAGACCAGACTAAGTCAAGACACTTTTATTTTTTGCTTGGCATATAAAACTGATTCCCTTATGAAACAGAAGTATCGTAACTAGCATACAGTTCATTTGGAGAGGTAGATGGTAAGAGGTTTGACGACAGTAGCAATTTTACAGTTAGATTTGGCACGTTAAAGCTAAGCTTCTGTACAGACTTCAAACCAGGCCACTCCTTCAGGCACTCAGCCCCTACACACATCAGCAGCTAAGAAAAGATGCTAAAAGATCTGAAAAACAACAACAACAAAAAATAGTTAGAAAAGTATCAATGCTAAATAAAGCAACTCAGTGTCTAAGAACATGTACCTTCAGAGTATGCCATGGACAGCTATTTAGAAAAAAAAATCCTCTTTTTCCATAGCTGTCTTATGAAACTCTTAGTTTATTTTATAAACTTTTAAAACCATGAAGCGATCTCCAAGGGTACAAGAAGACAATCAAAGCTGTTAGAAATGAACTGAAGCTTCGTGTCTCCTGGAAACCAAACTGCTAAGTGGAAACCAAACTGCTAAGTGGAAGGCCAGAAACAGTTGTTCCCAATCACCTGGTGCCTACGGAACCACCAGGCATCTTCTTTGCCTTTGAAGCTCAGGGAGAATCTGTAACTGATGAATTCCGTTTCCCCTTCATGCCAGGGAGGTGGTGCTGACTGGGTAAACAGGAACTGTACTGGCTCAGCATGTAAACACCAAGATTACAACTAAGAAATTGCCTAGTTTGAGGAAGTGCTTACAAGAGATAGTGAAAGAAATAAATTTTCCATATAGGTACTGTAACTAAAACCACTGCTGTAATGACGTTTGCCTGTAACACCAGAAGAAACAAGTGCTCTATTCCAAAATCAGAAAGGCAAGATAAGGGCTGTAATTAAGAAAGAAAATACTAAGCTTTTTATGCGCTGTGCTCGCACATGTATGTGTGAGACAGGGGAAACGTTATTTCCTGACGTCCACACCCAGGAATTAGCAGACCTTGGCAAAGCTCAGTGGGGAACTGTATGTGTCACTGGTTAAAGTACAGTTTATTTGGCTTTTTATAGGTTATTAATCTAACGCTTACAGAGGATCTGATTTCTTTCTTGAATTACTACCTAAAGCTGAAGCTATAGTGCATGGACACATGTCGATGTCCAAGAATAGTCTCTTTTAAATAACAATAGCTGATAAAACTCACAATAGAAATAACTTTGAAAGCTATGAGAACTTTTAAGCACATTTCAGTTACACTGATGTAATTTATTGCTCAAAACAGTGGGGGAAGTGGTTTTCGTTTTGTTTGTCAAATAGTTAAGCATCAGCCTCTACACTGTTACTAGTGTGAACCACCTTGTTTAGACAAACTTTTTGGAGACTTTCTAAAGTCTGCTTGAGGGGAGAACAATTTTAAAGAATGATTTTAACAACTCAATCCTACTGCAGTCAACTTTCTATAAAGCTGCCTAAATAACACAATTTAAATCTAGGAAACAGCAATTCTTCGGATGATAGAAGTCAGAAAAACAGACTTCTTCAAGGTTAAGACTCAGTGTGTGATTTCTAAGGATTGTGAACGATGCGTAACTGCATTATCAGGTGATCTGAAATAACATATGTGCTCTCACCCCAACAGATCCAAGTCAAGAGGTGATGGGGAAGTAGGACACAGTAAAATTTTGCATTTGCTTCGGGCAAGATATCAAATTATGGTGACTCAGACTCTTCCTAAGACTACTATGGATCTAAAACTCATCTTTCTAAATAGGTTAGTCTAAAATCTAATCACCAGAATTTTCAAGGCATGCCAGGTTAGTAGTCTTCACAGTGGCAGGAGTAGTGCTAATGAACCTAAAGCAATTTAGGAATGAAAATGCAAACGAGTATTCAACTCTTTCTAGTTATTTAAATTGCTACCCATGTAGTAGCTTACTTGAGTGGCATGATACAATTCTTGGGTGACATACTTTTTTCTTTTGGATTAGAGGGTGCATCCTGCAGGGGACAGCGCCCCTCTTTGAGACCACCGTTAACCCGTCTTTGGAAGTGCTGTTTGAAAGTTTAAGAACTAAAGCCTGCTTTATCTGCCATTATCAGGATTCACCATGTACTCTCAGGCAAGTAATCCTGTGTAAGAAAATGGAAATAATACCCTTATGTGGAAGGGAGATAGAGCAGAATTACTGTATAGCCAGGCCAGTCCAAATGGCAGCTGAGCAGCAGCTGGCCCCGCAACCGCTTGGCTGCAGCAACAGAAACTGGTGGAAGCACTGCAACAGCTAAATGCCACTTACAATAGTCAAGAACAGCATGTCCTGTACAGAGCTACCACCAGAATTGGGGAGAAGGAGCCCAAAACAGGGATTTACACCAGCTGCAGAAGCTGGATGTCTCTTCTGAATACTTTAATGCAAGCAGTCTCATTTAAAGCCAGTTTTTCAATTCTGAATTCTGCAAGCAGTCTCATTTAAAGCCAGTTTTTCATGACAGAAGAGCTTATGAATCGTAATTCAAGAACTTACCAGTGAAAGATACCAAAGTAGTTCATGTAATTACAAAAATGAACAAACTTTCTGGGGTCTGAAGGGATTTGTACTGGATGATACTCCTGTCAGTAGAGGATCATGTTGTGCATTCTGCAGGCAGAACTGCTTCAAGTCTGCTGCAGCCTGAGAAACCTAGTCAGAATAAAAGCTGGCATTAGAATTCACTGAACGCTCTTTACTAAAGATGTAGCTACATGAAAAAGCATAAACAGCACTGTTAAAATATTCTGCAATACACCTCATGTAGATTTTATAGAACAGTTTCGTTGCAATTTTTTGTTTTCTTAAAGATGCAAAGTTGAGCAATATTAGAATAAGAATTAATTTGGAAAGTTTTCATGTTAAAACTTCTAACCATGAAGGGTGAGAGGGTGAGAGATGAGCAACATCTTGGAGATGGCTTTTTTAAATATATGAAGATCTTTGTTCTAGCACAAATTGTTTAAGAATACACCCTATAGTTTAAGATGCTCTACTGGACTAAGGCGGTACTTCATCTTCCCCTGGAAAGCCATCCTTCGGTGGCACGGCCCGAGGGGTTCTGGTAGGCAGTGCCTACCTAAAAACGGAACAGGGAAAAAACTGTCTTGCTTTTCTTTGCTGTAACTCTGAACTCATACGGAAAGAACAATCGAAGTTTCAGAAAGTAGCATCTTCGCTGGTATCTTGTATTTGCAGCTTGCCCAGAGTTTTCTCACCCTGAAAATGGCACCAGTTAAACTCGTTCAGCCCACCTTCAGCGCCGGGTGCTGGGTACGTCCTGCAGCCAAGTCTCCATTTTAGGGCGCCCGGGCCGGGGCAGCCCAGGCGACCTGTTGCAAACCCCGACTCGGGCCGCCCTCCTCGCCGCCGTCTGAGGGGAGGAACCCGCTCCCCAGAATCAGGGCGTGAAAGGGAAGAGCGGGGCGCCTCGTCCCCCCCGGGGTCCCTGAGGGGCTGCAGGAAGCGAGAGGGCGCGGCGGGCCGGGGGGCGGCGGGGAAGGGAGGCGGCCGCCCCGGGGCTCGGCTGGGCCGGGGAGGCCGAAGGAGCCGCGGGGCTAAAGCCTGGGAGCAGGCGCGGCCGCCGAGGAGGGTCGGCGGGGCGGGGCAGGGCAGGCCGGAGCGGGCCC